GACTCGTGAGGTTCGAACCCAAAACCGGGTGCTTAACCTCTAGACCACTGAGACAACCGGTATCCAACGATGTTAATGTCTAACTTCTGTGAAATTGAGCCACCGTTCACCATTGTCTTCAATGAGTTACTATCTCACAACAGATCCAGTTGAACTCGACTGGTCACTGTTTTTCACTAGAACTCCAGGAAATACCTCTTGAAACCAGTCACTAGTGAGCATATATTGATTAATATCAGAAGGGGTTTTTTGTCAATTATGAGAAATAATTATTACAAAAATAAAATCAATCAAAATTCATCACTTGAATGAAACTATATGATTATCAGTGTAGAGTTGTGGAGATTGTTAAGTTTTAATTAAGATCATGGATACACACTGTTAAAGAGTCCCATACAATGATGAAACGGTCTGTTCAGTACTTCCACGTCTTCAATAATGATCTATCATTGATCGGTCCATGATCTCAATTAAAACTATATAACTATAATAATTATATCAAGTTTACAATAAAAAATATTAGATTCACACCAGACTTACCAATCCAAACATCATCCAACTTGGACAGAATGAAATTACTAGATATATAGTGATTCATTGAATCAAGTGGTAACCAATGGGGAATTAATGTATGTAAAAGTTTGTATCCATAGTTTTATTCTTTGTAATAATAGGGAACAATAAGCATAATCAACTATGTTTTTCTTTATGAGGTTAATGTAATTCAATCAGTATATCCATGTACATTCTTGTAGGAACCAGGTAATCGTTAGGTTAGTGCATATTAGATTCCTAAACATTAGACGATCATAGTTAAACTAACATCTTAGCTATAAAACAATGAAAGTATTCATTTTAGACGAATACTATTCTTTAAGTTTATATAATTCAGTGATGAAATAGTTCAGAAGTAAGTCTCAAGTGGTTTTGTATTCTAATTCATGTATTTAACCTATCCACTTAACCTTTAATATTACCAGCCAATCTTGTCCAAAATATTTACATAATACCCATCACTTAAGGTCAATTAAATCACATGTTTATAAATTAGGTCTAGGTCAGTGTATCTATTCATTGTTAATTGACTTAAAAATTAAGTGGATTAGTTGAAGTTAAACATTAACACCGTTGGATGTCGGCCGACTTAGTGGTCTAAAGGTTAAGCGTTCGCGCACGAGACCGATAGTTTCTGGATTCGAATCTCACGAGGCTGAGTCGTTGATGTGCACTGCTGAGGAGTCCGATACTGGGATGAAACAGCCATCCAATGCTTCCAGGTTTTTCATAGTAGTCTAGCTTTAATTGATTCATGATCTGAACCATTAAAATTAAAAATTAGGGTTTAAAAAATCTTAATGACTGTAAAATTCCCATCATACGATAACGAAGATAAATGAACAATGAAAATTCATTCTGTTAAACTCTTTTCATATTCTACAATTACAGATGTAGATTAATGATCTAAACGTTAACCAGGTTTAAGGCAAGATACATTATTAGAAATTATAGCATGTGACATATGTTTATTTTACCTTGGCCAACTTCTGACCTAATTACTTTATAATCATTCTCAGATATAATTCGATGAATGATCATACAACCTACTTCTTAGGATTTTCATAGCTTAAACTGATCTTAATCATATTTATTATTGTAAAGCCTATGCCACAGGGAATCGAACCGAGAGCCTTCGAACTCGCGCTCGAATGCTTCGTCTGTAGACCAATGAACCGGAATTTAGTAATGGTTATATTTAACTTTAATTAATTAATGGTATTACGTGGCTATTTTTCACTGCCTACTGTCAACGACATGGTTGAACATCATTGATCACGACTTCTCACTAGAACTCAAGGAGTTGTATTGTTTTTTTTGGGGGGGATACTAATTGATATCACAAGTTGTATTACTAGTAGCACCAATGATTTATTTATTAATTGTCACCTCGATCAATGAATAACACCTAAAATGTTATTGTTTATTGGTCCTCGATCACCTGTAACCTGTAAGCCAATCAGAATACTCAGATATGATGTAAACCAGTTCTCTATTGTATTCAGTTTAGCTATAACTCAAAATGTATGGAATTGTATATATTTGACTACACAGTACACCAAACAACAAATCATACATAGATAAAATCAATATATAGGTGATGGAGGGTATAGTAAACAGTATATAATTCATTATCAATAACTAAGGAATAGTAAAACATATAACGACAATTGATAGGTCCACTAGAACTTTACAATAAATGGAATATAGAAATTAAGAACTGCACTTATCTACTAATTATACGATGAAAAATAGTTCCAATTATCCCAGTATTCATCCCCTTTATAACAAGTTGAGTCTTTAAACTAGTCACTAGTGAGCATATGTGATTACTATTAATGTAGATGGATTTAAAAAGACTATAAAAATTTTCATAGATTAAATTCATGAGTCAATCTAAGCTGGACCATGGTTGAAAACCTGGAATCACTGAATGGTCATTTCATCCTAGTATCTGATTCCTCAACAATCACTCAATCAGTGGTCTTGAGTGCTGTTAGAGGTATGAGGGCAATTATCACTTCCCGGTTGCCCACATCGTGAAAGAGTTCTTCTGGAGGTAACCTGAAAAGAAAATTGGATTAGAGGTGATCTTAGTGACCTGAGAGCGTGACCGCAGTGTCCAAGGGACAACTGCTTGAGGTCGGTCACACACGACCTTTTTATAGGTAATTTTTGTGTTAGCTCCGTACTTGTTGAAACCTTACCGCCGGAGACAGATATCCGTGGGATAAGGTGAGGTGTGCATTTTTAGGGTTTCCCTTTTTTTAACCCCACCCCTCCTTGTGGGAAGGCAGCACCGCTGTCATGCTGGTTGTCTGGAGGAAACACCTTACTGCTATCACACCTCTGTACAGTCAGCAGTACGACTTCGCCTTCGGACCTTGGGTTTGTTACTTTCAGTCTTACCGCTCTTCAACCGACCTGTCTGACATAGTAGGACCTTGAGGAACAGTTGTTCCAGCCAGTATAGCGCGGTGGCTTCGTCACGATAGGCAAACCCGACCACCACGTCAAGGTAGCAACAACGGTCGGTCCTCAACAGTGCACATCTACGATTGACTAATGAATTCAACTATTAAAATTAATACAATCTCTCCACATACATATAATGAAAAAAACAACAGATACTTCATTTAGATCAATACAATATAAAAAATAATCCAGACTGTGATTGCCTACAGTGTATTTCCTCAACAACAACAACAATAACAATAACAAGAAAAGGAAACCACTCGGAAACAATATGATAAACAGATTCATAACAATCACAATTTATCATTACGATTTAATAAAAGAAAACTTAATGAATTTACTCAACCCAAAATATCAGACTCATTTTAATGTCTCCCTCTCTCTACATATATATATATAAGGTCCTTTTAATTAGAATTTTATCAATCATGAATTAAGCGAATACTATAAATAGAATTAATATTTAACATTCCAGTTCATGAGTCAATTGAAGCTAGATCACCATGGAAAATCTGAAAGTTCTGGACGACCTATTGTGGGACATCTCAGCAGTGCACATTCACGATCCCGCGTCGTGAGGTTCGAACCCAAGACCTATCAGTCTCGTGCACGAGCGCTTAACTTCTAGACTATTGAGTCAACCAGTATCCAACGATGTTAATTTCTAATTTCAACTAATCCACGAAATTGACCAACACATCCACCATTGTCTTCAATGAGTTACTACCTCACAAAAGACATGGTTAAACTCCACTGGTGATGATTTTCACTAGAACTCCAAGAAATACCTCTTAAAACCAATCACTTGTGAGCATCTATTGAATAATATCAGAAGGAGTTTTATGGAGATTGTAGTAATTTAATAATTGAATTCATCAGTCCATTGAATCTAGACTACCATGAAAAACCTGAAAGCAATGGACCACCGTTCTCTCGCAAGATTGATAAAGCCTGGGTTCGAATTTCGCTATGCGAGATCATTGATATGCACTGTTGCCAAATCATATACTACACATGAAACGACTGTTCAATGCTACCAGATTTTCCATGGTAATCTAACTTTAATGAACTCATGAATTCGACCATTGAAATGACTAGAATCTCCACAAAAACCCATGTCTGATATTTAATATTTATTTATTGATATGAATAATTGAAAATCTTTTCAATGGTTAAGATCATGAGTCAGTTGAAGCTAGACCACTATGGAAGACCTGAAATCACTGGATGGCCGTTTCATCCTATTGTGGAACTCCTCAGAAGTGTGCAATAGGACGAAACGGCCGTCCAGTTTTCTCAGATTTTCCATGATGGTCTAACTTCAACTGACTCATGATCTTAACCATTGAAATGACTATCATCTCCACAAAACCCCTTCTGATATTAAAACTTATTTAATGAAACAAACAATAACAATAATCAGTATGAAAATTATATCGTTGGCTTTTATCATTATCATTATTATTATTATTATTATTATTATTATTATTATTATTATTACTATTATTATCATTATTAAATCATATTTCCCTTCCCCATTTTTCATAATATTTATCCATTCCATGTTCATTGATAATAATCATTGAACCAATAGAATGATCATGATTATCATTAGTATTATTATTCAAAACTCCCCACCTATCTACTATATAAAGGAAGAAGAAGAAGAAAAAAAAAAAGCAAAGATTACTTAGTATAAATATTCAACTCATAAAATTGAATGAAAACATCATTTGAATACAATCAGTAAGTATGTCCTATGATCACTACTCATTATAATTCATCGTTATTAATAACATTTATTGGAGATTATTCCTAATATCAATTTGACAAGTTACCATAGCAACAAGATCATTCACCTTGACCTTAGTGATTAAAACAAAAACAAAAAAATGACAAAACATATTCTATTTATTCATTTATTCTTATTATTTATGATTATTTATATAATTATATTCAATATAAAATATATGAAATGTACTACAGTGAATGATTTATTAATTTATCCTAATCGACATAAGAAATTATTTAAGATAATTCATTATTTAATTAGACAATGTGCACCATATTGTTTAAATTATGGTAAATTAGAAAAACCAGATATGCCATGGAAAAAATGTTATTGTTTATGTCCTGATAATTATTATGGGATTGCATGTGAATTTAATCGAAATCATGAAGAAATCGATATTGATAATGGTAATAATAATAATGGTAATGATAATCAGTTACTAAGCAATATGCATCATCTTAAATCAAATGCATTACCGTTTTCATATGGTCGTGCATCCTCATCATCGTCGTCAGCGGCAGCAGCAGCATCATCTTTCCTTACACCTACAATGAACAATAATAATAATAATCAAGCAAATGATAATGATCAACAATTGATTTTTGTAAAGTAACTTATGTCATTCTATCTTTTGTTGTTGTTGTTGTTGATGATGTTGTTGCTGTGGTTTTGATGAACCATGAAAAATAAAAAATAAAACACAAAAAAGGATGAATGAAAATATATTGATCGAAAAATGCAATAATTACAAAGAAAAATAAATATTTTTTTAATATCAGAAGGGGTTTTGTGCAGATTGTAATAATTTCAAAAGTTGAGATCATGAGTCAATTGAAGCTAGATCACCATGGAAACCTGGGAGCACTGGATGGCCGTTTCGTTCTATTGTCGGACTCCTCAGCAGTGCTCATCCACAACCCTGGCTCGTGGAATTCGAACCCAGGACCTATCAGTCTCGCGCCAGGCGCGAGTAAGTTTTATCAGTGAGATTATTATTTATGAACGACCTTTAAGTGTTCACCTAATAACTAGGACTAAATGACGGTTATAAAGTAGTTTGAAGAATAAGGATTATGATTTACCGTTAATGCTTAAAGTTAAGAATTGGATTTAGGGTTTTTTTCAGTTATAATGCCAAAAGTCTATTTAACCATTAATGAATGAATGAATTTCATGTCAAAATTCAAGATCTATTATCTTATATCTGATTGATTCGTCCATAAATTATAATCTCGTTGTTTTATCTTTTCTGTCATTTAAGTTACGAACTTGATTTGAGTGAGGTTTTAAGACAAAAATAGTAATGAATTCAATTATTCATTAATAAGAAGAGAATGATTATTTTAAATGAAAAAAAACAAAGATGGATAGTGGCTAGCAGTGGAATCCAGGACGCGCGTTTCGTCCTGTTTGGGACTCGTCAGATGGATGTACCTGCATCTCAGAGTTGATGTTCACTCTGGGATTCAAGTAAAACAATATCAAGTGAATTATTTTAAATGATGTTTAAATATAGATTATAAGATAAGTACAACATTTCAATTCTGTCCGGTTCATCTGTTGAATATTGAATAGTTGAGTTTGAGGAACTTACCGATCGGAGGTAATAGAAGATGGTCGAGCAATATCATGGATTAATTAAAGTCAAACTTGTATATCAATAAATGATTACTGAAAAGAGCAAGAACAAAGATTCTAGCAGAAGGGCATGAATTCATTTTATTTCGTCTGGTTTTCGTCAGCTGCTTACAACATGAGAGGGTTTGTTTGGAAGATATATTGAAGATATATTCGTAAAGTATAACTGAGTGGTTTAGAGATTAAGTGTTCATACACGAGACTGGAGATGTTAGCTTTAACTTGTGATTGTAAGTTCGTGGACATGCACTTCTTAGAAATCTCATACTAACACGTAATAACTATCCAGTACCTTTAGGTTTCGAATGGTTATTTAACTTTGATCGGTTAATAATATCAATAAATCTATATATTAAGGATAAGAACACATTACGTCGGGAAATAGATTCAGTTATGTAAAAGATGAATAACAACTGGAAGGAGCTGGAAAGGATTGCTCAGGTCAGGATTGGATGGAGAATGCTGGTGAGCGGCTTATGCTCCTTCACGAGGAGTAACAGGCGTAAGTAAGCAATCAGGGCGTTTGTTAATTACTAAACTTTTCATTTCATAATTAAAAGGGTTAAGATAATAATAAAAACTGTGATAAAATTGGAAATGAGTAATGAGTAGTAATCAGTGTGCAATTAGTTACTTAGTAAATAAATTCTTAGAAAGTTGTCATATGAATACGTAGAATTAAATAGCTATAACCAAGGGATACAAATAATTTATTGAATTGCATGATTAATTCTTCTTGAAATGTGATTATTCCTTGTAGATGATGGTACAAGAATAACTTACGTATGTTAGTTACACTCTAATCAGTTATGTCTGTATCCATCAAATCGCGTATAGCATTTGAATATAACAGATTAATTTTATTCTGTATTACAGATTGTATTTTGCATAGTGTATTGATAGGGTAAGATTAGCATGGCTCCTGCTTAAGGATGACACCCAAAGCCGTGAACCTCTCCATTTGGTGTATTGATGAAAATTACTTAAGTATTAACAATAATGTAAATATATACAAAGTAACGATTAAGATGGTTTTACAGGTTGAAATCATGAGTCAATAGAAGCTAGACCACCATGGAAAACCTGGAAGCACTGGACGGCCGTTTCGTCCTAGTATGGGACTCCTCAGAAGTGCGCATCCACGATACGCCCTCCGCGGGATTCGAACTCAGGAACTGCTGGCTTCGTGCGTGAGCACTTAATCATTAAGATGGTTTATTAAAGTAAACAAGTCTTTGTGCTTCTTTCATTGCTCTGATTAAAACAAATCATCATCATTGAGGTTTTTGGTTTTGATGCCAATACATGAAATATGATTGGAGGTGAACTAGTGTAGTAAGATATAATAATTTTTTATAATCAGGAATTATTTTACATGGTGTAATATAGAATACAGACTGTTGATTTCTACATAAAAACACTTATTCACAAATGTACTTACTTATGCCTGTTACCCCTGGCCGAGGAGCATAGGCCGTCCACCAGCATTCTCCATCCAGCTCTGTCCTCAGCAATATTTCCCGATTCTTTCCAGTTCATATCCATCCTGTTCATGTCTACTTCTGATTAACAACGCAGTGTGTTACTTGACCTTCCTCATCTCCGTTTCCCTTCATGACTCAAAGTACTTGCTTCATGACGCAGTTTGTTGATTTCCATAATGTATGTTATATCCACTTCAAACGTCATTTCCTAATTTCCTCTTCAAATAGAAGCTGGTTTGTCCTCTCCCATAGTAATTTGTTGCTGATTGTACCCGGCCAACGGATATTGAGTATCTTGCATAGATAACTGTTTACAAATACTTGTACCTTTTTGATGATGGCTGTAGTAGTTCTCTACGTTTCATAAATGCAGGTTAATCCTTACAAAGTGAACATTTTACATGTGAAATTTTTAGCTTGTGAAATACATCCAATTTGAATGAAGAATAGAATTTATTCAATATTGGATGTTGAAATGATTCATTCAATTTGTTTTCCAGCTTTTAAGTCTGTGGATTTGTAGAGATTATAGTAATTTTAATAATTGAATTTATGAGTCGATTTAAGCTAGACCACCATTGAAAATTTAGAAGTACTGGATTGCTGTTTCATTATAGTATGGGACTCCTCAGTAGTGCGTATCTACGATCCAGAATGTGAACGCGCATTCTTGAGTCTCAGATTTAGTATTATTTGGTAAATGATAGACAAATTCATCTGTGACAGTGTGATTTGTAGGCCTTATGCATGATGTATATAACTCCAATAAGGCATGACCGATTCAGAACTTGAAAACTTCAGATTTTTCCTTCAGAAACAATCAGATAGTACCATAAACAGATATTAATGTTTGGGAAGAGATTGTATTTCTCAGAGCTATACAATACTTTCATTTTCTTTCTGTTTAGAAACTAGAAATCAACTGTATGTTGTATAAATTTATCCAGGTAATTTACTTGAATCAATATGGACAATTTCAATTATACCTTTTGTACAAACAATTTTTAAGCATATTAAGTTTCTTAATAGTTGAAGCTAGACCACCATGGAAAGCCTGGAAGCAATCGACGATCATTTTGTCCTAGTATAGGACTCCTCAGCAGCGTGTATCCACGAGTTTTGTCTACATTCAGTCAATACAATGAAAATTATTGAACTTAATAAATACAAGATCATTCATATTAATCAACAGTAAAAGAGGTCTGCTGTGTCTCTGAATAAGAAAGAACATAATTCAGTGAGGAGAATTTCCTCTACTTAAACTGTACAGTTGGATTTATCGTTAATTTTATTTACTCAAACAATAGTCTGTTTTCGAAACGTATCTCTAAACCTTACCCTGCCTGACATTCCAAAGGATTACAGAAGTCAATCAAAAGCTTAATTACTTTACTCCGCCAGAAACCTCCCTTAATATCATATAAACAGTTAGAAGAGGTGGATCAGTAGGAATGAAAATGAAAAACTTACGCAAAAAACAGAGGCTACTGCTATCCATTATCTCAAGCCTAACCTTTGAGTACAAAAGTAGGATGTTTATTCCCTTATTCTCCCATGGTTTTAACCTCCCTTTCTATCCTTCATAAGTTATCGTTTGTTAGTTTTATATTCCATTACTTATACTCCTTTCTAATTAGTTTCACAACTATCATTTAGCAATTGTTACAACTTTTAATCATTCTATTCTTAATAGCTGTCAAGAGGATAATAATCTTCACTTTATTACTTTTCACTAGCCGATTATTACATAACTTCCTTTCAATATCAATAGTGAATGACAATGAAGCTTGTGAGATCCGTGATGTGTATGTAGAAAATAGATCAATCTGAAAGCTGGCAGAGAATATTCAACAGGCACAATGTCTAGTATACTGTCAATTTATTGAAATCTAATTAGAATCTAAGTGAACCATAATTCTAACTCTCTCATATTATTGGAGTTGAATAGTTTGTCAAAATGAAGTTTATCCTGGTCCGTGCTTATCTTCTTTCCTGTGTTATGACTTTATGCCCAGCTAGTTATCATGTGACTTATCCGCCAATCGAAATACGACTTACTGTATCTTAGTAATGTACCAAACCAATGACATTCGACCGGCATGAACAGCCTGGCGTCCTTATTGGTTCCTCGTTCACCTAGCCCATCTAGTTGAGTCCGGAACACCAATAACAGCTTCTACTATGCAAATTACTTATTTCAAACATACTTGGTTTATATACTAACCAAACAGACCTCATCACATGATAAAATAGAAGATAACATTTATAAAAGATCAAGCCAGAATGTATCTGTAAACGTGGGAGACAGTAATCAATAAACTTAACATAACTTAAGAACAGTAAATCTTAACACAATAATCTATAGAACAAAATGAAGCTTATAATAAGAGGAATATAGATATACAGAATCTAATTGAAGTTATACAATAACAGAGTCACTTGGTAAAATAGAAAAATCATACTATAATACTTAATTTGCAAAATGTTCGCA